ATTCTGTCAGTCAATGAAGGCTGTGTTATTTGTATTTTATGATTTTAGAAGTACAAGTGTGTGTTCAAATTCAGGAGCTGCGTCCTTTGAAGGCAGCATTTGAAGGCCAATTACATCGCAGCGACGCTACAAAGGTTGTCTGAATTCGAAGGCTGCTGCCAATTGCGTCCTCCTTTCTTCATGATTTGCAGGATGGGGTGGTGTATTCTTAGAAGTCCACCCTGTCCCCAGATTCAGTGGGTAGGGTGTGCTGCTACAGGAGCACAATGGTGAAGTTGTGTTGGTAGACTTTTGTCATTTTTATTAAATTTGTTTTTATATAGTTATGTGAAATTTATATAATTCATTAAATTATTAAAAAATGATTCAATAAATAATAAGAAAGCTCACCAGGTCTTCAAACTCCACTTTTAGCAGTTCATGTTTATAGTCATCGTGGTTGGATCGTGGTGACAGGACATACTCTGACTTAGCCATTCCAACACAGGTCACTGTTTTTATCTAAAACGGTGACATTTTAGCTCTAGTTGTATGTTTAGGGACAATCCTGACAGATGTGATTTGCATTTAGAACCATTCATCTTCACATCAACTTTTGGCCAGCTTTTCTGTCCCTCTAGAAGAAAAACATCCCCTCAGCCTGATACTGCCACCACCATGTTTCACTGTGGGTCTCCAGTGGATGTTCATAGCCGGGTATATTGTTTTGAAACCCAACTTTAATCTTCTCTACTGTGTTCCTTGTCTTCATGACATTGTTTATTCTCTAACAAACCTTCAAGCTTCACAGAACTAATTACATACATATGGATTACATTAGTTGATTAGCTAACTTCTGGAGGCATTTAGTTTATTTAAACATATTAAAATAAAGAGGGCTGGACACAAAAGCATACCACACTTTTCAGATTCCTATTTATGCAAAATTTAGAAAAAACATATTCTCAGTCTCTTTCCACTTCACAATTATGCTACTCTAATTTGATCGGTCACATAAAATTACAGCAAAAACACTTTTAGTTTTGTTGTTTTGAACGCGAGAACAAATACTTTTCTAATGCAATTCATTTTCACAAATTTGTGAAAACATGTTGGGATGCTTATGGAAGCACAGTAACAATGTTGGACTGCAGCACTACTGTGGCTTGTTTCAAGTTTTATGTGTGTTTTATGGTGTGTCATTGTCAGGATGAACACTCTGGGTAATAAGCTCCTTTGTGATCCCTCAGCACTTCCACTCTGCACCAAGACATTAAAACCAGCCCACAGGAGAATTATGGCATATGCCCTTATGCCTCTCATGGATCAAACTTGAGAGTAGTGGACAAAATAATTGATTTGTCACAATTGAAGCAAAACATTTTTTATTTTTTTTTTAACCACTTTTCTCAGATCCACATTTCTCTCTACGACAGTCCCTTCATAGATTTTCAAGCCTTGGGTGCATTTGAAGATGTACGTTAATTGTCAATTCTAATTCAAAACCCCAACAAGTTACAAAGGTGTTTGTGAGAATAAAACCGTATCAGACAGAAACACGTTTTTATTGAATTAAAGGCAGACAACGGCTCACTGTAACTCTTTTTTGCGCATTAATATGTTGCATGTCTGTTATCATATGCAGCACAGCCACAATGTGTCCACCGAATTACGCAGGTCACTGTGCTCCTGAAGTGATAGGATATTGTTAATATTACACGGCTATTACACATCTTCAATCCCACATAGTACCTCTACCAACATCTATTTAGCAAAGTTTAATAATATAAAAAAGAGCGTGATTAAGATCAAAATAGTTTAAAATATAGCAACAAAATAGCCCACAACACAATTTTACAGTAGTAATGACTTTGCAGACGGCAAACTAAAGCCATTTATAAATATATTTGCAAGCTGCCTGTCATGCAAACTAAAAACAGGAAGTAATACAGCAACTTAATGAAAGCCAGGTATAAAATAAATCAAATAAAGCTTGCTGTAATCTTTAATGAAATAAAACACATAAAACAATACTTCCACAGGTAGGACGTATTTATAAGAAATCTGCTGAGTAAGCTGTATGTGACATAGCATCGATGTGCGCATGCGCGTTACCACAAGGTAGGACGGATTTATGGGTAGCACAGATAAACAGGACACGGTTTCTAAGGAGGAAAATTTAACAAGCATAATATAGTGTTGATGCGATTCAAGGGAAGAGAATAATAGAGGACATTAATAGTCACATCTTTAAATAGTAAATATTGATTTTAGATGAGAGAATAAGGCCAAGACCTCAAGTCTTTAGAGCACAAGTCCAAGTCAAATTTGAAACTGTTCAGTTTGATGCAATACAGTTCAAGATGAAACTCCATCCTAGCAGTTTAACTTCAGGATAAAGTTCTGCATTAAAAATGTTGTACAACTTAGAAAAATGGAGGAACAAAGTTGGTTTATAAACTAAAATTTGTTGCAAAGTTTTAATTTATCTCTTGTTGGTGGCTGCCTGAAACCTCTGATCCAAATAATCAGACAGCTGCTAAGCCTCATCCCCAGTGAAGATCTGCCATGCCTTGAGTGTAGCTATTTAAACTTATTGCTTGGTTGGGGAATATGGTTTGGTGAGAGGAAACACCTGCTTTCTTAGGTTGTAGTGATTGAGGACTCAGGAATTTAGTAAAATGCATAATAGCTTTGTTTTTGTAAATTAAACATTTCTTTACTTAGATGGAGAGAACTGTCAAAACATTTTATCCCCTACAATTTTCTTCTGCTTTCTTTTTTTGTCAAACTGAAATATTTTATATTATCAAACCCATTGCAATGCCAGACAAAGATAACCTGAAACAAAAATAACATTTTTCGAAAGACTTTAGGTTTTCCGCCATATGTCGTGGGAAGCACACCATTCACCCAGAAACATGGGCTTTTGTGTTCTATTGATGTATTTTCTCCTTAAAACTCTCCATTTGTGGATACTTTCTTTCACTGTGGTTAGAATACTTTTATAAACATTTCCAGACTAATAGATGAGAGTGAATTTCTTTGCCTTTATATTAGGATATGATACGCTGCTTACTTTATGTTGTCAGAAAGGTTCTATTGAAGTGATTTCTGGCAGTTATCTGACCTGGAAGGGAACTGTAACCAAAAACAACATTGGCATGCACAGATAATTCATAATTTGAGAAGTGAATGCAGTTATATGACGAGCAGTCATTTGGTTAGCCATCTTCATTTAAAGGACTACATAATTTAAAAGTTGCCTTTGATATCTGATACATTTAAGTGTGATTAAAAAGGTAAAAACTAGAGAAACCTTACAGGGGGAAAATACTTTGTCACAGCACTGTGTGAAGGATGATTTCCTGAATACACTGTCAGTATAATTATGTTTGGTATGAGCACAGCACCCTGATCAGTATTAATAAATTCTTACTTGAGTTTGTCAGACTGGTGTTAAGATAGCGAGCTGGAGTGCTCGTCTAGTCTACTGGCATCGCTAGAAGCTCAAATCACGGCATTTTAGTTACACCAGCAGAATAGTCCTGATATATCGAGACTCTTTTTATGTTGCCTGTGAGGGTATAATTAATAAAAGAGCATTAATCATTTTGCAGGCTGAACATGGAGGGCTCATTCCTCCAGTTTGCCCCTTGACAAACGTCCCGCAGGCTCACTACTCATGCAACCCGCCGCCCCCCCTCTGCGTGCCTGCAATGTACTCACCCCGCCACATTCTGCCTCCTTTATTGAATGCCAATTAAGCAGATAAATTAGCAGGGTTCAAAGATTAATTAAAAAACCTGCTGGTTTCCCTGGGTGATGAAAAAGTTTCGGCTGCATTTTTTTTCTCCCCCTCTTCCAGTTCCACAAGAGACGTTAATGGTTTTCTTTTTTGCTCAGAGGGTATTTACTGGAGGAAATGTAGTTAAAGGAATTTAGGTCACAGTGCCTGTGGTTGAGATTCCTGCCCATGCCTCGCAGACAAATGAGGCTGAACAATTTCAATCTGATTACTTGTGGTAAGATAATAAAACCTATGTATAATACATTGCTTTTATTTGATGACGCACATAATTTACAAGGTGAATTAGACATTTCATCAGATGTAGAGAAATCGGTGTGAAATCAGAAGTGTAATAGATAAAGATTGTTTCCCTTCTGTCCACTAGAGGGCAGCATGCCTCCACATCTTTGTGGAATCCCCACTGGAGGATGTTTTTTCCTCTCTGTTCATTCTAGCCATCTCTTTGTGAGAGAGTGCTTCTGATAAACATTCTCCTCCATTCTAATCATCATGTCATTCCCTAGCTTTTAGTGCTCTGTCCGGCCTTCACTCTATCCTCTGATGTCTCTCACATGAAAGAACTCTTTGTGATGCCGAATTAAAGGAGCATGAAGATAATGCTCCCAATAACACGTAGATACTGCCTATCCAGCCTATCAGCTGTGATTGCATGGCCTCAATAGAAGCCATGTTGTGTGATTTTGTTCTTCTGTTCAGAGTTGGGTTGCAGTGTATTTTTTTTAATTTTTTTATTGCTGCTGCCTTTTTCTACTTTTATTTCAAGGACTAATTATTCCTGCCATTATACTCCGCTGCCGCAGCCTGCGACTTCAACAAAGAAACACGGTTGGGAATTAATTTAAGTATGGGACAAGATCTGATATAAAGGGGTTCTTGTGGAAATGGAAAAATAATTTTCTGTGCCTCAAAGGTTTCTACTTTCTGATTAACCTATTATACTGTAAATGATCCAGTTCAGAGTTCAAGGTTTTCAAATACAGAAATTGCAGAATTTTTTGGGTTATGTGATTATTGGGATCAACTACAGCTGCATAAAATTTCTTCAAATTTTTTTTCTTTGCCGTGCTAATTAATGTTATAGAATAAAAAAAGAAATGAACAAATGCTACAATCGAGGGAACATGTTTTTTTTGTGTGTTTGTGCCCTTTTCAATGCAACCTTGAAAAAGTTTGAAGAGTTTAATCAGCTTCACTTCTTTGTTTCTTTTAGGAGGACATGAACCTCAATGAGGATCGTAAAGCCCCTCTGCGTGGGAAGGAACTGGGCATCAAACGTGAGATGGTGGTCCAGTACATCTCGGCCACTGCCAAATCTGTAAGTGTCATAATAAATAAGTGTTTTAAAAGTGTGTTGCATTTGTGAAAACAACAGATCAAATAACCCGATGCTCCGTTTCATACTCTGCTTTGTAACGCCTTATTGCACACTCACCACTCCACCACCTTTCCTCACTCTTCATGCTTGAGGCCCACCACTTTGACTGCAGTTTTGATTGACATATTTGTCTTTGATTTTTTTATTTTTATTTTTTTTTTTTTGGTTGCTCCTTGGATCTAAAGGGACATCTCAATAATGTTATTGAAAACTTGATTTAATTTCCATGATGTGATTAAAAAAAGTGAAACTCATGGGTTTATTTCACACCAAGTGATTTATTTTAATGTTGTATTTATTTTTGTTGATTAAGGGTATTGCTCATAAAAGCCCAAAAATATAGTTTGTCAAAAATTAATATAGCTGGGTGCTCATGTGAATAAACTACTTGTGATGTTGAATTAAGATGAAAATAATACTCCCAATAACACATAGCTACACCAGATACTGGTGTCCAAACAGGCTTGCTACAACTGGAAAATTGAGTGGAAGGAAAAGGTGCAACAAGCATAACTGTAGCTTACAGCAGACTCTTAAAGCAACCTGGGCTTTATAAACAACTAAGCAAAGCTACACAGTGAGTGACTTTGCACCATGCAGCATTCATGAAGTGATTTGTGCAAAAAAGAAGTGATTGCATAAATCATGCAGTACATAAGTATTCTTTTTAGGGTGACATGTCTGTATTAGATATCCATTTAGTAGGTATCATGTAAACTAATTGTATGAGGTTTGTTTTTTAATATAAATTCCAGTGATAAATACTTTGTTGATACTATTCATATTAATTGAGCTGCACCTGAAACTTGGAGCTGCTTGCCTGGTGGATGGTTCATGTTTGTCCAGTCTTACTTTTTTCTTTTGTCCATTTATGGTGGTGGTGATGTCTAACTTTTGACCAGCTACATTATAACTTAAAGTAGAAATAAACTCAGAGTTGCAATATTTGCTCACAATAAATTGTAAGGAGTTCAGATATTAATTGTTGAACTTGATAAATGTTTCTATTTTATTAAAAATAATAATAATAAAAACGGTTGTTTTTAAAAAAAATGTTTTAGTGCATTTCAGAGTCTTATGAAAGGATTTATTTCTCTTAAAGCTCAAGGGTAACAGTTGATGAATAATATAAAATTGCAACCTGTCACCCATTGAAAACATTTGTTGCTTTTGGAGACAACAAGGCAGACCTGATTGGGTATGTAGGACTTCTGTTGCTCAAAACACCATGTGTTTGTATCTGGCAAGAGCAAAAAACAGAAGTTGGTGTCCTTTGGATTTCTAAAACACCTACATTTCGTCTTAAAATAATGTGACGCAACTCTTGTTTACTGGCACCAAAGTGATAGCATAAACCCCTTTCACGCACACACTGCATTCCTGTAGTCTGACACAAAATAAACATGTGGGTGTCATGCTTTTCTAAAGTGCTTTGTGATGTTGTTCAAACACAGACCACTTTTAAGATGCCTTAAGCTTGCACATGCACATTCTCTGACCGTTGATTTTATTTGTCCCTGTTTTTTTTCATTTTAAGTAGTACTTGTTAGACTAAGAAATGTATGGACTTGAAGTCTGATATACAGCTTTGACCATGGAGTGATCAAGATCAAGAAATTGTGATTGTAAACTATCACAATTTCTCAAGTTAACACCAACAGCTATGGTACAGGAGTGCAGCTAAAACCTTTTTTTTTCTTCTGCCATTTACTCACCTTACTGCCACTGTACACATAACATGCTTGGATAAATTGTCTTAAGTATCTGGCCTCAATATCTACCAGCAGCTTCTTAATATTTTAGATGAGTAACATTATTATTTGCAATTTTTATATCTTTTTATGTGGCGGTATATTGAAATGACTTCTTTCATAGAGATTTTGTAGAACCTTACTGAGGTGATATTCATAGGACTTCTGAAGAGAAGAAGTGCTTTCTTTCTTCATTGTTTCCTGAACCTGGTAGCTCTGCCTTGACATCATCATTTATTACCTTGCTCATTGTTATGGTAATTAACTGGCATTATTGATAATGATGATTATCCGAGATGATTGAATTCCTCACAGGGCCCATTATGCTTTGTGAGCAGAGATATTTTATTCAAATGAATAACATAATCTGTGTAGTGAAAGGACAGAGGACAAAATGTGACATCTGTCTGCACCCTGCTATCACATTTAATAGGGCTGATGGAGGAGAAGGGGAGGGGGAAGTCAGTGTCAGGGATGAAATGGCTGTTCATGCAGGCTCATGCAAATGTGCAGTTACAGTACAGGACTACTGTAGATCCCCAACAATGTGTGGTATCTACTAACCCCACTGGAGGTTGCATCAATTTGATTGTTTAGGTGGGCTTTTGAAATAGTTTTTAGGAATATTTTATCATACTATCCAGTATTAGACTGAGGTTTTCCATAGAACAATTTGCAACAGTTGTAAAAGTTTGCAGCAATTTCAAAAACTTGCAGAAATTACTGTAAAAAATTAACAATTGTAACAGCTTGTAGCATATTGCTAGACTTGTATTAAATTGTAAGCAAATCTCCATCTTTTATCTAATTCTTAGCGCATTACAAAACCATAATCACATGGCTTGGAGAGTTCTGATCAGCATCACTTATTACATTGTTGAATTAATGATTCATTGTAAAGTTTGAAACTTAGAACAATTGGAAGAAGTAATTGCATTTCAGCAGTTTAGTTATGTGTAGCTGGAAAGCTTGCATTATGGGCTAAATATAAAATGTTGCGCAAAGACTAGGTGGTTTGGCTTTTAACATTCTGGGATTTTTTTTCTATCTTTCTGTGGGTTTTTCAGTTTGGCTGTGGTGTCTCCATTGTCCATCATTTCTAAAAGGCTTACTTTGTTGTGTTTTTTCTTTTTAACATCTTCATTGTTTTATTGCATTTATTATAATTTAACACGCTTACAAGTTTGAAATATCTTCTTTTGTTTCTCTTGACTTTAAGCAGGCAACATCCTCAGATCATTCAAAGCACAAAATTTAAGTGATTAAATATTGGTGAAGCACTGCAGATGTTGGTCTCTCCAATATGCTTTCTGACCAAAAACCAACAGGTTTCACATGCACCAATCAGCCAAAGCATTATGATCACTCAAAGGTGACATTTCATTGGCAGTTGGCCTGTACATTATGAAGACAAAAAGGCAAATATAATTTAAGCAAATGTTTGCAAATTAGAAATTTTAATGACAGGGTTACAAGAATCTCCAGATATGCAAATTCGATAGAGTGCGGCAGCTTTATAGTTGTTTGGTTAAAGGTCCACTGATGATTTAAATAAAGGCCAGTATTAAAACTCGCTCTACTGCAGCTGAAGTGGCTGACATAAGTAAAAGTTTTACATGTGAAATGAGCCAAACAAACATATTTTTTAAGACCAAAATCAGTTTTTTGTATCAAATGAGGAACCACACAACATACAACGGACAGAGGGCCATCCAGCAGTGGCAATGAAAGGCTTAGATTGATGCTTTGTTGGAAAACCTTGGTTATTTCTGTTGATTTAGATGTTGCAATAAACAATTTACCTGATCTGAAACTGTGCTTTGTGAAACCAAGATAATGAGCCCTTCTGCTGGTGGAATTGCTCAGAAACTATTTCAGTAACAAAATAGCAAGGGGGAGGATTTGATTTGGTCTCTAAATTATCTGAATCTCATACTAGTGAAACATCTGTAAGATGTCAGTTTACATGATTTGCAAAATCAATAGTTGGTTGTTGGTGCCAGCTCTATGCTGCTCAACACCTCTTCGGTTTATTGTTGCCTTTATGGCAAAAGGAAACTTAATATGTGAAAGATTTTCATAATGTTCTAGGTGAGTGGTGTATCTCTATCATTGATGCGTACTGACACATCACATTTGCATTTAAACTTTGCTTGCCTGAAATAACGAGTACAATTCTTACTCTTGCAAAATATGTATTTTGAAGAAAATTTCAAGCTATTCTCTCACTCAAGCCATGCAACATTGAATACATACTCATATTCTACAAGGTTTACCCCAGAAGGGGTCTGGCAAATTACTCCCAAAAAAACCTTCTGCAAAGATTTGGCTCATTTAGATATGAACTGATTACTGTGTAATCCAACTCTGCTTCTGCATGAGTCATGTTTAAATGTCTTTAACTATTAGCTTTGCATGAACTGCTGCCTTTCTTTTTTCACTTTTTTTTTTACAACCCTTTACATTTGTGCAAATTTAATCAAAAATGCTAATTTCCCAAATTTTACTAATGCTACTAATACATACTTTGAGCCTTGTGTTAAATTATGAACATGCTTTGTTTAATGTTGGAAGGATGTGATGTAAGGTCTTGTAAGGGGGGATTGCTCATTATTGCATTCTTTTCTTACATTTTTTTTATGTGACCATCAATTTTCAGCCTTCCTCTCTGAGTGGCCCGTGCAGTTTTCAGAGAACGTCTAGACCACTAATGATTATTAATTTGCAGTACTCATACAATTAGTGTATAGCAATGTCTTGAGAGGAAAATGTGCAAGTCATTAGGTACAACATGTATTGTGGATATTAAAAGCCTACATTTCCTTGTTTAGAAAGGCAGGTTTTTGTGTTTCCCAACTTTTTCCACCTGGAAAGTGGCCAGTAAAATTAGAAAATACTGAAATCTTTTCTGGGAAAATGACAGTAAAAAAAAATAATAGCAGAACTATTACCAAAAAGAAATCACCAGTTGAATTTAACTAGACCATTAGCTTGTAGGGGCGTCCTTTTGGCAGCAAATTATTATGCTAGCTGATTCAATGGGTAGCTTCTGATTTCTTAAACATCCATGTGGAAATGCACATCTTGTGATTGTGGAACATACCTCAGTCTGTTTAAGAAGGATCAAATCATTGACATCAAGTAGAGAAAATGTCTAAAGAGATGTAGAAACTACTAAAATTAGGTTGAAAACTTTCAGCAAAATTGGGGTCAAAATATTTTATGTCAGCACAAATCCTTCAGGCTTGTGCTGGAAATGTAAAGTATTCTTCAAAAGTCAACAAACGAATAGCTTCATCAGAAGAAGATTGATTTTCTGTCCAGTCCTAAATCTGTTTTGTGATCTAAAGAGAGATGCACACAGAATATCTGCCAGATTTAGGAAATTTTTGTAAACAAAAAGCAAATATGTGGGCAAAATGTGCCAATAATGATAAAATCATACCTTAAAAGTTCATCTTAAAAAGGTGCTTAAACAAAATTTATGTTTGTGTGTGTTGAAAACTATGCAACAGTATTGTTTAATTATTTTTTAACTCAAAGTCTTTTGAAAGGAGTTTTGGAAGAGCTGGTCAGATTAAAGATGAAAACTTTCCATTTGGTGTTTTATCTTTTTGTGATATTTCAAAAAACCTGTCACTGTAACAAGCCGTGCAGACCTTGTAATATCCACTGTACCCAACGGCTTGTCCTTTTCTTTCTCAAAACACACATTAATTTGAACTGGTGCCTCTCACCTTCAAGCTCCTTCCAGTGTTGTGTTCTGGCACACTAAAGATAATGTCTGTTAGTTTGGTAGAGCTGCTATAAATATGTTTTGATGTTAAGTAGATGTACATTCTGCAGCAATTGTTGTGTTCTGGACTATTTTAAAAACATAGGAAAATTGTTGCATTAAACTGTTTCTATGGCTGTTCTGAGCATTTAGTAGGGTGAAGGAAAGGGTAACTGTTGTAATAAATGGATGCAGACCTGGACAGTTTGAGAATGATGGTAAAAGAAAATGAAAGCTAAATTTTTTTCCCCTTGCCTCCTATAAAAACTGTAGAAAGGAAGGGGGAATGGCTCAGTGTGTCCTATAACTTCTTGCAATCAGAATGCAATTCCCTAGAAGCATGTTGTAGAGCGAGAAGAGCTCAACCTCAGATTAGAATACATTTACTCTGCTAACAGACACCTTCCCACTGTGAAACAAGTCCCACAGTTGCAGTAATGAAAATCGCTTCTGCTACCTGCCACTATTGACAGATAACAAGGTTAAACCCTAGGAATTGTGCTGACTGCATGGGTTCAAGGTAGTTCTGCCACACAAATGTGACATCTGAAGACCACTGTTAATGGCAGAAGATTGATTTTTAGACCAAAGGGACCTTCTTTACATTCTTTACCCTCAGTAGCAAATGTTCATATTTAGGTAAGAATCCAAAATCTGTATCAACCAATTAAAGAGATTTACCCTCTCACTTGTCTTATTTTCCACATTGTCAAATTATTGCAAAAGCACAAGAAATTTTGCCTTGATATTTACATCTCATAATTTATATCTCGGTCTATTCATAATTTAACAATAGAGGACTTGCAGCTGCCAATAACAGACATAATCTTCAGTATGCAGTAATAGCTATGAGAGTTATCTTGTTTGCTTTTGTAAATTTTTGTGAAACCGAGGGAGCTGTAAATATGTGAAGGATTTTTGTGTTGTCACAACAGATACGCTAATGCCTCAACTTGTAATGGATAATTCTCTGGCCTACTAACGATTGTGCTGTTTGTGTCTTTTTGCACATTAACCTTCTCCACCGATCGCTGCATGCAGATAACTGGGAGCAAAGTTGCGGTAAGTAGCCTATTATTTATTTGGCCTCCAAATCTTGTTACTTCTTTGTATCTGTCTTCATTCCTATGAACCCATGCATACACACACAGATTTACACACACAACCACCATAGCATCATCAGTCATGAAGCCGGTTGGGAGTATATTCTGAACTGTGCATATATGGTCATTGCTTAGCTTTGTGTTTAAAGATGCATGTTGTGTTCATTGAAAAAAAAAATACTGTATTGTCTTGGTTTCTGCAGTTTCTTTTCATAGAATGTTGTGAAACAGCTCTTCATCTGTGAATAATACAACTTCAACTTTTTTAACAAATGGACAATTTTTCTGCAGCATTCACCCACTGCTTAGAGAAATAATTCAGATGGTTCAGATTAATATAAACCTCAGTGTATAATGCAGTACAACAGACTTGTTGGAAGTTGAACTAAAATGCACTTGCAGACCAAACCACAATGTTTTTTTTTTGTTCCACCAAACGTCACAAGATTTATTTATTGGAGACACTTATTTCTGAATTTGTTTCACTGCAGCTGGTTTGACGGAGATAAGGAGGTAGCTTAATAACCAAATCTTGGTTGTGGTGAAATATGCACATCATCTGAATTAGTATGATTTATGTTTGTCAGCGTACTGGCGAAAACAGAAGCGTAGACCATAATCAATTATTGCCTTTTCATCTGCAAAGAGACTCTGCTGTCCTGCTGGATTCTGTAGGCAAAATGAGCAATGTCTAAATAAAAACCAGCATCTTGCTCAAAACATTATGCTCGTCTTTCATGACATTTCTTTTTGAGGTTCCAAGGTGAGGCTGTGTTTATATATTCCACTTGTCACTGCAGAGAGCGTTTGCAAGAGGGGAAAAAAATATTATGAAGGTTGACCACTTTATTTTCTTTTATTTTAAATAATCCACAATTAGTATTCATAGAAGTTTAATGGTAAATGTTTATCACCTGAGAATTAAATACAGGTGATTTTATTGCATAACATGGTTACATGTGTTGAAATATGTTTAACTCTCAGCCAACTTACTTATTTACTGATTTGTGCTGCAAACTTGTTTACTGAATATGATTCCACTACTCTAATGTTGCTCAAATGTAGCTTTTCCTAATGTAGCTCTTCCTTATTGACTAGATTGTTCATGATTGATGTAGTCTGGGTCAGGTGTTGGTTGACACTTAAATGGGGACGCTGAAGTGGAAAAAAAAAAAAACTTAACACCCTGATGTGCAGCGATTGGCCTCATTGGTTAAATACTTGTGCACCTTGCTAAGCTGTTTATTTTTTAACAGGAATTTACAGTCTCCCTTTTATCATTCTTATGCCACCTCAGATGTTTAAGCTTTCAGAAACTTTTTTTCTGACCGTGAACTCTTTGCTTCATCATAACATTTGTGAATCTAAAGTAAAGAACCTTCAAACATCAAAACCAAGAGCAGAGGATTTCACCGCAAATGATGTCCTTAAGCATAATTTTTCCCTGTAGGACACAGTTCTCCATGTTTTTTCAACTTCCTAGAAGAGTTACATTTGTTCAGCATTCTAAGCAAAGGTGGAATTTATGTTTAAAATAAAATTAATTCAGCATTTTATTATTACATTATTATTTAATTATGTTGACCTGGGAGCTTGGTTGAGTTGTGGACATTAAGTAGTTGTTTTATCGTATGGTTCTAATTGCCTTCAAAAGTTTTAAAAAAAAATTATTTCAGTGAAAATGGAGAATAAAAAATAAACCTCACACAGTAACCTCTTTTGAAATGTGAAATTGCAATTTTAAGTGTCGATTAAAGTGCTCTTTCATTGCCTTTTCAAGGACTTAATAAGAACTAAGACTATAAGACCTAAGAGAAGCACAGGCAAGGCTAAACGGTGCACTGTGACCTGGAGAGGCCCCTGCTCTCTCCATGCTCTCATACATACCTTGCTCTTTGAGGCATTTTTCAGCCTTTCATACACTGTATTTTTGTGCTTGGTTATTTCTATGGCAGCAATGGATTTATCAGCCTGGACTGTTTGGATGGGCCACATAGTAGGTTTCAATCAGCAGTAATGGCTACCCTGTGTTCGGTAAATAGAAAAGGACAAAATTACCTCATTTTGGATCATGACCACTCATCTAAGATATGAAGGCCTTCTTTCAGAATCTCTGCAGACCGTTTCAAAGGATGCGAGAAGTCCTGGTCATCAATAACAGTCATTTCTAAAGCTCCCAAGAAGTGTTTGACCTGGGATTTTTAACCTTTGTGAGAATAGACTCTGTGTACTGAAAGCCATGAGCTCTCATTTGTGAAGGCCCCATCGAAAGAGAGCATAGAAGAAACAGTATTTAGCCTGGTTAGCCAATCGTGAACCCCTCCCCCTCATACTCCTGGCAGATTCCCATTTTCACGCTGTCAGCAAGCGGCGACGAGGGCTCTCAGATGTGCTAGAAGGAAAGTGTTGGTTCTGATGGTCCATTGGGAAAACACAAGTGTAACTCCTCTGTCTCAGGCATGAAATCTCTCTGGCACTTTCTCCACCGCTAGTAAGGAATGAGCCAGGAATAGAACGCTGTGAATTGACTTTCATCACTCTGACCATTGTGGAAATGTGCAACGCAGCTCCACAGCACTAGTCTCACTTTCAAACTCCATCCAAAAAGTAGGGGAGAGGTAAGCAACACATTCAGGTAATTACAGGCTTCCAGACAGACTGGGATGAATTCATTATACTGGATACCTGCTGCTGTCTGCTGACCTCTACAGCGGTTTCACATTAGTCAGTAACCACTGGCCTGAGTTATGTCACAAGTCGAGGTCTATCCGTCAGCGTCTGCTGCTGCGCTGCTTTAGAAAGTAGACTTCTATCTTGTCTCATCCAATGACAGACTCTGCAGCTCAGGGGGCTGCTGAGACTTGGCGTGAGAGGGCGTGTGATCCATTTGTTGAAGAAACGGCAGCGGAAAATCTCCAGGCCACAGGAAATGATCAATACCTGTATGACTGGGCAGATGACTGGATGGCAGCCGGCTCTAAAATGTCAGGTTGTGCAGTGGTAAATAGGGTTGTGTAAACAACTGCTCTCTGTATGTTGTTTTCAGTGTGCAGATTTGACCAAAGAGTCTAAAAAGCCTTACACCTGAGAGAAAAGGTCAGTACTGGCTGCACGGTAGCAGATCTAATTTACTGACATGTTCTTGTTTTCTTAGTGAAACTGGGTGTGATTTGAGGATTAAAGGTGCATACTCATAATCCTTTTACCAATTGTAAAGTAGAAGTATGTTACTTTAGCATATCAACAGTTTAAAACATATTTCTAACATCATACATCTTCTTTCCATTTTAAAATTCTATTTTAAAATAGACTTCCTGTGACCCAGAGTTTATGTTCTAATCCAGTACTAGAAATTAGCATCTCATGTTTATTCAGAGAATGAACCACACACATTAAACACCTAAGGGCAGTTTAGAGACCAACAGACATGAAATGCATGTTTTCTTGGCTGTTAGAAGAAGATGGAGTACCAGGAAAAAAAAAACAAATTTTGTTTTGTGAAAAATTTAAGAACTTTGCTTGTCTGTTTTGATTATGGAGATGGCAGGTGGGTGACTCCTCTCCAGGCTTTTATCTTGAAGATTCAATGCATGTTCGAACAATGACCAGTTCCATGCTTTAAAAGGGAAAGGTCTAACACTCAGGTCTTAGTTATGTAGCTTAGAATGACCCAGTAAGTTTAGGATTATTTCCATGGTTATTTCCTGTCCAAACTAGATACATCACTAAATAGTCACTAGTTTATTTACAGATCAAATCAAATTTGTGTATAAAGCACCCTAGAAATAATGAGCTTGACCAAAGTGCTGCACAGCAAGCAGGATGTAGAAATGTTAGTCTGTATATGTGTTTGTGTTCTTTTTTTTTTTTTAACAAGATTTAAAAACGGTTATTGATGGAGCCTGGCTGATTTGTAGTAGCAAACTGTTCTACAGTGTTGGGGCCGCCACTGCAAAAACCTCTCATCTCTTGATTTACAGAAAACCTTAGGTACCGTTAACAGCATCTGATCTGCTGACTCGAGAGTACGAGCTGTAACATAAGGATGCAGTAGTTCAGATGAGATGAGATGCTGCCAAGTTATTAAGAGGCTTAAAAACAAATAAGAAAAAAAATAACAACCCTAAAGTCACTTAGAAGCTAATGTAGCGAAGCCAGAATTGGACTAATGTGCTCTTGTGTTCTTGTATCTGTTAAAAGTACAAAATGGATGTAGGGTGGGGTGATATGGTAATAGATGTGCATTGACCTGCAGTCAGCAATACAACTGCGTTGGTGTGTTTGTCTGTAAACACGACAAAAATTAGGACAAATTACAAGCGTTCTAAAACCTGCTTTTATTAAATGTGTTTTCTGCCATTTTTCACTTGACAATATTTACCTCAACTTTGCATTAAAATAACAAAAAACAATCTTTTAATAAAAGCAGAATAAACCCCAGAGACACCAGAAAACAAATGATTTTTTTTTTCATTGAATGGATCATTTTTAGGATCTTTAACCTCAGTACAGTATTTTTATTTTGAGAATGTCAAAGATTAACAACAAACAGTTTGTAGATCTTTCAAACAGGTTCAGGTATATATTGACTTGCAATTAACTGTACCACCATTGTAATTTTTTGACATAGTGCAATGTAATAACAAAACTGGCATTTCTTTGTAATATAAGACACCTAATATGTTAATTTCTTTTCATTTTAAAGTGCTGTTTAACTTTTCTGTTAGTTTTACTGTCTCATATTATAGAACTACTGAAACCAATTCATCTTCATCTTAATTGGGGTCAGTAATTATGAAATTATTTTCCTTAAAAGTGTTTTTTTCGTAATTCCCAGATGAACAATTTACAAAACTGACTTTAATTCAACACACTTTCAAAAAGATAATTATTCCCTAGTTCAATAACCTTTGTGTTTTCATTAGTTTAACTCTTTTTGAATGGAGGTTTACAAAGCAT